GCTGTATGGGGTGAGCATCATTATATATTTTATATGTGTACATAAATAGCAAAGTGGCAACAAATTGGTGTTAAGTTCATCCTGCATAAATATAAAATGTGTTGTAACAGATTTTATAAGGCATTATTTAAAACTTGCCTTTTGTGAGGGAAAAAAAAAAACCAGTAGAAAGATGACCTAATTTAACTAATATTAGAGAAAATGGCAGAACAGTAGATGAGCACAAAGGTTTTATAAGTGGTAAATAATTAGGAAAATATCTGTAGGGAAAGGGATCTTTTTCTCCTTGACTCTAAAGATAGATGACGCAACTGGTTACAAAATCCAGGAGGGCTTTAGTGTCCCGTGCATGGGAGGGCACGGGCGTGCAGGGAACAGCTCTCTTATGGTGCAGATCCTCCACACGATTCTTGCTGTCCTGACGGAAACTGGTGCCACCCTCAGCTTGGATTTTGAACAAGGCCTTACTCTTACAGGGAGACAGCTCGTTGGTGATGGCAAGTTCATCTGTTTACTGGGCGTGTGCCATGAACAAAATTCAAAGTCCTGTGTATCTTTTATCTTAGATTTTTAAATACTCCTTTTCCTGAAAAAATTAAAGAGTTTAAAAATGGCTGCTATTTTATATTAAACAATGTTAAGCAGCTACCTGAAGTTTTTACTTACATTTTGCTTTTCCCCCTAATTCCCTAAATTATGCTCCTTTTGATGTTTCCTCATCTGCTGTCCGGACAACTCATCAGCCAGGTTTCCTGACTGGCACATAGGTATTAGGTACATGCACCGTGGTGAGCACAGGCTGTATAGTGGAGAGCACTTCACTGGCAGTTTGGGTAGCACATGTTAGTAGAAGCCAAAACAGTGGGGATGATGTTCTATCTCCTCTCTGTGGTCTCAGCATTTGGCTCTTACTCAGAAAAGGTTAGGTTTTCTTCTTGAAATGTACTGAATTGACTTACAGGCACGTTCTTCATAAGGTCATACCTAATTAAAACAAGACAGTCTCCCAACACTGAATTTCCAAGATAACCCTTACCACTTTGTAAACCATTTATAGCTTTGAAAGTATTAAGTGACCCTTTCATTATTATTTATGCATGTTCATGAACTTCTGCTGTATATTGGAATAGGAGTTAACACATTCACATTTACTGTCTATTTTCTTGTGTGCCTTATGAGATGGCTTTTCTGACTGTATCTCAATAGTCTTTCTTTCTATGCAGGTTTATAATCAGTACAACTACTGTTTTCTAAAGTAATATTACACAAGGCTCGGAGTTTGTATTTAAATTACACTGACCAAGTCACAATGTATTCCGTTTTCAGGAACTGAATATCTGACTGTTAATCTTTTCCCATATGCCCAGTGTGATCTGGAGCATATGGGCTTGACATCCTTCACCCAGATGCTCATGTGTGAACATATCACATCCACAGCTCTCAGTGGAAGCCAACCTAGAGTAGGGAGGACACTGACGGTGTTGCTTTAAACTGACTTTTCTTACCCTTTGAGACTCATGTGTTTTGTATAAGACACCATCACAGGCAAGTTTTTCTCCCTTCAGATAACATATTTTATTATTAAAAAGAAAAACAAAAGAAGCTTAAGTTGCACTGGACGTGGGAAGTTCCCTCAGATCTCTACGTGGTTCTATACTGAGAGAGTGTCACCGCTGTGTGAACACAGGTGGTCCCAGTCAAAACTCCATCCTTTGAGCCCTAATTACATCCATTGTGTTACAAAACTAAATCAGGGGTTTGTTCTAAAAGAACAATACATGTTTCACCATTTCCTTTCAGCTGTAAAGACTAATAATGTATTAACATGATTTCTGTATTAACCATCATGCGCACAAGAAATACATAGTAAATACGGAACCTGAAAACTCCTGGCGTTGGATCATAAAGAGCTAGGTGATTAGAATGTGAAAAGAACTTTACAAATGTAAAACTTTTATTTCTCTGTAGAAACTTTCTTCACTTTGCTGTGCAAGAAGACACTGCTTTGCTATATTTAAAATGGCTTTTTTAAAAGAGATTTATGTATTTGGTAAATGTTTGTAGTCAACAGTTCACACAAGCTGTACACGGTTTGATCATGTAAAACCGTTTGGCGGCACAAGCTGGACTTTGTTGCCATCCTTGAGATGAACCTTTTAAGAAAAATAAGTTAATCTCAATTTTTCCCTGAATGTGTTTGTTTTTTCTTCATTATACAATAAATATTATAGTGAAGTTTTTATCAAACAGTTAAGACAATGCTAGAGGTTGTTGTAAGCTATTTGTCTCCTGCACTCACTCCAGTAAAGATGGCCTGGCTTTGACCATACATCCAGACTCTGTCATGTTTGCCTGGGGAAAACAGTAGGTTCTGGCATGGCCACCAGGCATCCCTGCTCCCCAGTTTCACCCTGTGGCATCTAGACAGCCCTAGAGCCTGTAGGAAACAGCCAGCCATCTGTTCCCCAGTATCAGCCTGGCTATGCTGCAGCTCAGTTAAACCCAGTGGGTCTCAAAGAAGTACTCACGAAGAATAGCATCAAGTGCTGAGGGCAGTGGATGTTAGCACTCACTAACATGTTATCTTTAAGGTTTACAGTGTGAAACTAGTTTTGCCCAGATTACATACACAGCGTTGTGTTTTGCAGAGGTGGCTGTTAAAGCACACTAGCAGATCCTTCCCACTTTCAGATCTTAACTGAGCCAGAAGCCAGAAAAGCTCCAGCTCCAAACAGTTGTCCAAACTCTTTGTTTTTTGATTTTTAAAAAAAAGTCCTCTTCCTCTCCTTTGCAGTGTGAGCCAGCTCCTAGCTAAGCAGATTCTTGGTGTCAAATCAAGTTAATTTTTTGCATTGGTTTTGCTTGCTGGCTATAATGGGGCTCTTATTAGCAGGTTTTGAAAGCTGTTCGAGTCCTATGGCTAAAAATATTCTAATCACAGCTGCAGCTACTTAATATCAATTCGCTTTGAGTCCCTAGTCAGCTCCCATGGGTGCCTTGCTCTAAACCTTTATCTTGGTTTTAAGCTGAATGTGTGTCTGAGTGGCACCAGCCAAGAAAGTGATTTTCCAAGCCCTGTGCCAGCTGGAAGGCTGCAGCCCACTCCCAGCCACCTGTCCAGCTGAACACCACTTAGCCGTGGATGAGCCTGACAGTGACTGGGATGAGGTGCTATATTTAGGCGAATAGCCCAAAGTGATGTGTCCTAGTTGGTTCTGGAATTGATGGCGTCTCACTGCAGATGGCTGTCCTTCCCAGGGTGAAGGTTCCTGCTAGGCTTCCTGTAAAGTGCTGTCTCTAATTGGTTAAGTATTTTGGAGGTAACTTGAATACTAGGTTTCCCCAACATTTACCCATTTAGCATTTAAGAATTTTAAAATAACAATTTTACAAATCAAATGAAACTATATGAATTCGTAGATCTAAGACAAAAGAATTAGGAATAATGGGGACAATAAGGAAGGACACTTCCTTCAGTGGTGTCAGCCTCCCCATGCTGTCATGAATCACCTCTTATTTCCCTGAAATAATGCCAAGCCCTTAAATGAAGAGCTTGGGTTGCTGCACATCTGGCCCCAAACCATTCTGGCAACCTTTTCCCATAATTCCATTCACACTCCCTACATACCGGGTCACCAGCTACTCACAGTCCCTTTGTTCTGCCCTCTAGTCCTTTGATCACACTAAAAACCATTCCCTAAAAAGCCCCTGCCCGCTGTCTCACTGACTCCCACTCCCCTTCCTGGTACCAGGTTGGCTCGGCTCCTCTAGAGAACGTCTCTGGAGCCCAGAGCCTTCATCTTGCTGCCTCCTAGCGTATCAGCACCTTGAGGGCAGGGGACGAGGGTCCTGTCTGGTTATCACATCACCTCTTCGTATTCTGAAGAGCTAAAGTGTATGTGGACGGATGGAGTACAGATCAAAGTAGCCCATGCTCCTTATTTCAGGGCAATGAAATTGTACCTTAAAATAACCAGATGCAGCCAGGTGTGAGGTGGTAGCACTAAGGAGGCAGAGCCAACAGCACCTCTATCAGACCACCAGCAGCAGTATGGCGGGTAGCAGGGCAGGGCAGCGAGGCCACAGAACCAGAAGAACACAAGCTCTAAGGCTGCCAAGCCCAAATTACTCAACTGTGGGCTCTGGGATTGGGATTGGCAAGACAGGAGTTCCTGTACAAAAGACTTGCCCTCCCATGGCATCCACTGAACAACAAACACCACAGGGTATACTTTAGTGTATTTGGCTCCTGGCTGCAGCCATCTTCTGTGAGCTTTCTCTACATGGTAAGTAAGGCCCAGAGCCCAGTCTATCCCATATGATTGTCAAATCCATAAACTTCAGAGCATCTTTCCACTTGTGGCTGCCTCCTGCTGGTCAGGCATGCAGTGCACAACCCAGCCTGGGGCCTTGTCCCCCTTGTATAAAATCAGCCCACCAACACTAAGAAAGAACATTCCTTAGGTTCTACATTGAGCACTATGCCCAAACAAAAAGATGGTAAGGTATTCTTTAAAACATTCACTTGGAAACTGGAGAGATGGCTACATTGTTAGGAGTGTTCAGTAATCTTGCAGAGGACCCCAGGGTAGTTACTAGCACCAGTCCCAGGCAGTTCACAACCGCCTCTAAATCTAGCTCCAGTAGGTCCTACACTCTCCCCTGAACTTCAAGGGCACCTGAATTCACAAGCACATAATTCTAAAACTTGAAAAATCTTTTCAAAAGCACCCCAGAGAACAAATTAGCAGAAAATGAGCTTTGTGGTATGTCTTTCACAGACCTACCTGTATTATGAAACATGTAGGTCAGTGGGCCAGCATGCACTGTTTACCACTTAGTCTGTCCTTCCCTGGCCACATAAGGAGGTGTACAGCAAGAGCTTGTGGCAACTTGCCCAGGCTCAGCAGGAGGCAGAGGCTACTGTCATTTACTCAAATGCTGTCCCTCCTCTTAACCATTACCAATATCCACATATTATGAAAAGACAGAGACTCATGTTTCCTTCACAGAAGAAATTATTTTATTCCACTTGAGAAAAATACAGAAATACAAGTTAAAACTGTAACATGTCTAAAACTCAGTGACATACTGATACTATTGTGTAGCACCGTGGTCTGCCTAGACACAGAACACACATCTCTGAGCCAAGCCCATCCCTGCCCTCAGCAGGCAGGGACACTGTCATTTGACCCCAGCCAACTCCAAGAGCCCTGACCCTGCAGAGCCCTTGTCACGTTCTACTTAGGACCCCACACAGGGCTGTATACAGGTGGTAGCAATGAGTCCCCAACAATTTAGACAGAATACAGGAAAAGATATAGACATTCTCTGTCTGCCAAAAAATTATTTTCCCATGGGACTCTGAGCCCTGCCTGATGAAGTTAATGATGGCAACATTTAGGAGAAACTTCACAGCTGAAATGGTCTTGAGCATCCAAATAGAAATCACTTACATAATCAAGATGTTTATTGTACCAAGATTCATGGGTTCATTTTTGGCCTCAAATACTTAATTCTGAAGACGATTTAAACTTGCTATTTGCACCCTGGGTGGATTGTGTTTCAGACAGAAGGCCCAGCTAAGGTACTATCCTGCTCCTCTGGTCAGGTTTCTAGGCCTAAGTATCAAGTTGCTAACCATCTAGAAGCCTGCTAGCCTGTCTGCCTCTAGTCTCTGCCTGCCATGACAAGGCAAGCTGACTTATCCCTTCCTCCCACACCCTGTACAGACATGGACGGCTAATTGCCTTCAGGGAGTGGCTGAGGAGACCTCCTGCACTCTCCTACATCTGGTGATGCTCTCTTTACAGCCTTTCACAGCCAGAGTTACCTTGGTAGTGTTTGGATATGTCCCCCAAAGGCAAATATCATAAAGGCTTGGACCTCATCTCAGTGTTGGGAAGAATGGAACCTTTAAGAAATGGGGCCTAGTGGGAGGAAGTTAGGTCACTGCAGGCAGAACTCTGAAAGTGATACCTGTGCCCAAGCTCCTTGTCTCCCCTTCTCTCTTCCCTGCCATGTGAACAATCTGTTCTACCACACACTCTCCTCCATGATGTTCTTACCATAGCCCCACTTCTCAAATCAGGCCATGGATTGAAACCATGAGCCAAGATAAACCTTTCCCACTGGAGATTATTTTGTTACAGTTACAGAAAGCTGACTGACACTGTGTCTGGTTTTAACACTGAGACACAGCATGTGCAAGTTTACTCTAAGGACCCAAAGAACAGATGAGTCAAGGAGGCAGAGGGAAGAACTCTGCTTCGGTTGCACATGGTAGGGGTTGGGTGGGGCCCACTGTTCTTGACAACGCTGGGCTGGCAACCAGTTTGCTTCAAAGGTCCATGTGTTAGAACCTTAATGGTGGATGCAGTCCCTTCAAACGACTTGCCAGTAACAGCTGCTGCCCAGATACCAACTGGGAGAATCCAGGGAGCCACCACCACAGAGATGCTCCTAGTGTGGCTCTGGGAGGTGTAGCTTAAATCAAAGGATGCTGGTTTGGATTTGGGGCTCTCACTTCTGAAGCAGTACTGCCTCAGTGGGGCCAAGTGAAGAGGCAAACATGTCATGTTGTCAACTGTGACAAACTCAGTGACATACTATATAGCACCTTAATCTAGACATAGGACATGTCTCTCAGCTCACATTTCCCCTTAGCAGGCAGGGACACTGTGACAGTCATTTGACCCCATCCAACATGGTGGGAGGGGGGGAATACCACAGACCCCTTGTCACAGTCTACTTAGGAGCCTGCACAGAATGGCTGTACAAGCACTCAGAGCTGGCCCCTACATGTCTTCAAGAAAGGGCCAGAGTTTCATGTAAATGTCTCTCTTGATGGGCTGGTGGATGTCTGGGCTCCTGCATCCCTGAGTTAGACCAAGCCATTCCTCCTCAGTCTATACAATTCAGATTGCCATGGTGTCCACACATTCAGGAAGCAAAATGTAACCCTCTCTGCAAACAGCTGGTGACAGTTAAACACATCAAGGGCTAATTGCCAAAGCCTGCCAACTCTAGAAAAGAAAGAGCTTAGGCCCCTGCTTAGGTGGTAGGGCTGACCTGGTTGTCTGAAGAAGGGAGGGTAGGCACTGGAATTGCTAACCGGGGGGCTTGCCCTGGAACTGGGCTCAGTATCATTGAGCCATTGGGGACAGCAGTTGCATTCAAGCTACTTGAGGCCTCCCCGGTGGCTTGTATTTTGAAGTAGACAAGATAGAACACTGGCAACACAATCCCAATGAGAAGCATAAGGAAGACAGCATTCCACCACTGAATACCACAGTCTGCACCGTCGGCTGCTGGCTTCTGGGTCATGGGGAGCAACGGCTGATCTGGGGCCTCCACACAGCAGCTGTCACTGTGGAAGACGTCAGACTGCACAGCCCGCTCAATGTTCTCATCAATGTCCTTGAAGAAGTCTGTTAGCTGGTTGCCCTGAGCAGCTGCCCCAGTGACATCTTCATCTTCAGGCATTTCTACCAGGGTCACCCTGGTCTTGGAGGATGGGGCCCCAAGAGGCATTAGTTCTTGGTGGGTCTCTGTGAGGATCCCATGATTTCTCACTGGAATCTTGATTGACTTCAAAGCATACAGATCTTGTTCTCTGATGAAGTTGTTCGCTTTCTTGATATCTGCAACCTACGGAAGCCATGCATTATAAACATGCAATGCTCCTTAAAACCAGTACCCAGCAGAGACCTTTGTCTGTTGGGGCTCCAGTGGAGAAGCCCATGAAGGCTTAAAAGTACAGCCACAGCCAGCTTCATTTCAGCTAACTTAGGCTTTCAGGTTTGACCTCTTAACGACTAGCTTAGAAAACAACTGCTCTACTTTGAACAATTTCCGATCAACTTTGGAAGGTGTTGTGACTACAACAAAAGCTTCAGGTGAGAGAGGACCAGCACTGTCACCCTTCCCGTTTAACTCAGTGCCCCCATCTCACACCAGAACCCAGCTGAGCAAGAGGCCAGACAAGCTCACTAACAGCCGAGTTCGCTCTGGGCACACATTCAGAGCCTCTGCCACCTGAGAGCTTCTTCAGGATGCTCCCTCAGCACTTTCCCAGCAGGGCAGGCACAGGAACTTATTTCCTGAATAGAAGCTAATTCAGCTTGGGGAGATGACACTTCTCATGAGAAGCCAGTTAGGCAATCAGCCATTAGCCAGGAGTTTCGAATTGAGATTTTCCTTTCCAGACTACTGTTGTGGGACTGTGATGTGGATTTTACCAAGTAACGCAAAGCTTATAACAGAAAAGGAAGGACGGGAAGCCAAATTTTAAACCCCCCTCAAGCTACTTGGGAAACACTTCTCTAGATGTAAGTCCAGCCCTCAGAGTTGAGCATCCTGTGTGCAATCGCTTTACTCAGCAGCCACTTTTAGAGTCTTACTGAACTGGCTTGGGGGATGCTTTTTATCTTGCTCTGAAACTAACAGGAGAGGCTAGCAGCTTTCGTTCTTTGTGCACTAAATGAACAGCACGTGTATTCACCTCCTGTAGGAACTGGACTAGTTAGTGGAGACATTAAATATCCATTCTGGGTTTCTTAGAGATTGTCATTCTGACATGATATGAAAGATAAGTCTTTCAAGACTTTGTTGGGAAGGTTTTTGTTTTGTTTTAGTCCATGGTCTATAAAGTATATGCCATGCCTACAGAAGCAGATTTTAAGATCCAAATGCAAAGGCCAGTGGAATGTTAAGATGTTATGCATCCCTGAAGACAAGCTTCCATTTGGGAAAGACTCCCACACCCACATAGTCTTTTTGCGCATTTGGATCTTTTTAGATAAACCACAGACAATTTTCAGGAGGTAAAGTTTTTTTTTTTAATTGTGTAGCTGATGCAGCCTTGGTGAAAGCTGCCGTCAGTATAAAGCATGGTTATAGCATGTATATAGCATGGTCATAGCATGTATATAGCACGTATATAGCATGAGGTCAACAGCGTGAAACAAACTGTTTCAATGCGGGAGAAAAGAGCGATTCCAGAAACACTTTCCAACTTACTTTGCCACTGTTAATCACTCTGAGTGCTAAAGACATAATTAAAGAGAAAGATAATGTTATACAAATGCACAGCACAGAGGCTAGACCATGCAGTTCTACTAGGGAGAAGAAAGAAGACTCTACTGTCAAGCAAAGGTCAGAAAATACAAGTAGCGAGAGAAGCATGCCACAGAAATGTGTAGACTCCACCTACCATCTCCAGCCCTAAGATTTTAAATCCAATGTGCTCAAAGATCACACTGTTTCATAGTGTCCCTGGGCAGGGCAGGGCAAAGGAAAACACACCCTGAACTAAAGTTCCCAGCCCTTCCTGAGCCCAGGGTTCCGAATGAAGGGTGCCTCCACCAGCTGCCAGGCCTGGTTATGTAGGATTCTAGTCACCTATGGAGGTCGGGAAGGACAAGGACCCCCTCCTATAGTGACTTCCCTATGTCTCTCTCAACCCTGGAGGGCACAGGACTGAGTCAGCTTACTTTGCAGCCATACTGGAGAGCCAGCTTGTTGAGGCTGTCTTCCTGGGCCAGCTCACGCTGCAGCAGCACCACGTTGCTTGCTCCTGGCGGTTGGCTGCTGTTCTTCTGGCGTTCCTTTCCCCGGGGTCTTAACACCACCTGGTGTGACTCTTCCTCAGAGGAGTCCCCAGAGTCCCCACTGCCATTCTTGAACATGTAAACGTGGCTGTTGGGAGTCCTACAGACAACAGCTGGGCCTTGGAAGGTCTTGGCTAACACTTCCTTCTGTCTCATTTTCTCTTATCTGAAAATCAAACCTGGAGTTAATTCCACACAAATGCTACCCATTCTCCCCTAGCTTCCTAAAGAGAACTGTCTCATTAGTAATTTCCTATTATTGCCAATATCCAACAAACAGCATCAGGACAGAAGGATATTCTCACACAGCCTCACACTTGTCCACCTGATCCTGAGGCAGAATAAGATCACACTTTTCCTAACTGCTGACTATGTGCAAAAAAGATTCCCGGCCCTTCTTCTCCATCCACAGCTGTGCTTCCCCTAGTCCACATAAGAAGCCACTTCTGTCTTAGCATTGTGTGAGGTGAGCACTGTTCTCAGCTTCCTGACACTGAGAATCTTACATTCAGAATCTTTGGACAAAAACCTCGTTAGACATCCCAAGGTGTCTTCAGGGGGAAAGTCCTCTACCAAGGACAGAAGCTGAGAACAACCATAGTTCTCTTATTTTGACCCTGGCTGACTTGACCTAAGAGGCAAGCGATGGAAAAACCTATCAAATTTCAATTTGCCCGTTTCTCACGGTCACCCTGGTCTCATTTCACCCCCATGGTTCCCTTATTGTCACCTGGAGTCAAACGCGAATGCCACAAGTCACTTTTCCCTTCCAAATGGCTGGAATGGGACCAGGCATTCCTGGAGGTCCCTTCTGATTGGCCCTCAGGCAACCTCAGCTCATCTCCCTCTAGTCACAAATTCTGTGCCCCTGGCACCCGGGGCAGCCAGAAGAGGCCTCAGTTTCCCTTTAGTAACAGGTGAGCTGTCATTAAGCAGGAGGCAAAAAAAAAAAAATTTTTTTTGAGACGGCCCCGCCCCTGGGCCTAAACAGGCCGGGCCCCAACTTTCCAAAGAATACACATCCTGCCACTCCCGTAAGCCGGCACCAGCTCTCCGTGGACACGGGCACTGGCCCTAGAGTGGCAGCTCACCACCTAGCCCACAGCGACAAGCGACCCCAGAAGCCCCGGCCCCACCAAGTCAACCCAGCAGACCCCGTTCCAGATTCGGATACCTCGCTCCCAGGCTCCACCGCCACCGCGCCCACCGATTGGCTGCAAAATGCAGGTCTTCCGGGGGCGGGGACTAAGATCCAACCAATGACCTCAGAGGAGGGCGGGCCCTGGCAGAGCCGGGAGGTGCTGAGAGGTCAGAATGCGACCTGCTCAAGGGCCGGGCCCTAGTGGGCTGGTCTCCAGCGTGGACCCTGGACCTTTGCTCGGCTGTCGGTTCCTCCCAGCTATGCCCAGTGTCTCCTTCTGAGCCATGTGTGAAACTTGGCTTCCTTCGCGGTGGCTATGGCTTTCTGCTAAGCTTCAGTCTTCTTCCCGGCAGGAGAGACCTTTGACCAATGTGTGTCCTGATCCGCGGCCAGAAACGTACCCAGTAAGGCGGCGCGCCACTCCTCCCGAGTCCCAGGTAGCCTGACCCTGAATCTTCAACACAGCATCCTTAGAGGGGCCGAATGGTTGCCAGCCCCTACCCAGAGATAAACCAAAGTCTAGGGATGTGAAATATTGCCGTGACAACACAGACCAGAATTGGCTAAACGAGAATATGTATCATCTGGCTAGCCAGAGAGACCGTTCCTGCTATTTGGAAAAGGGAGGAGAACCTGTGGCATTGTTTTGTAACAAAGACTAAAATCCTTAATGGAGTAAGACTCATCCAATGATTAAGGAAGACACTGAGTGACGTGGGCCGGCAATACACCAAAGAATGCAGATGGCTGGCAGCTAAACCAAGGTGTTAAGCCTCTCTGGGAATCAACATTAGAACAAGAGCCCAGAAATTCTTCCTATGGTTTAGAATAAAACTAAAAGTCTTACTCTAAATGTCTAAGGCCAAGAAGGCACCGGGTCATGGCCCTCTCTGTCAGCCACAGGATTCTTCTTTCCGGCTTTAAACATCTGGTGTTTGTTTACCTTGCCACTCAACCCAGGAGTCTAGCCTTGCTAATATACCCAACATTTCCCTCAAACACACACTTAGGTGTTCCCCACTGAGGTATTCATGGTTTGTGACAATTTGCAGGCTTGGATGAGGCTGCCTGAGAAGTATGAGAGGTATGTCAGTATGTCCCACCTATTAAGTGGGCCAAGGGCCCAACCACAAAACTAGGTCTGCTCTGATCCCAAGCCAGTGGAGACGACTATCAGCAGAGGTGTCCACTCAGACATCCTCCAAGCCTTCTCAAACATGTCTCCTCCCAAGTCCAACCTTCTCCTGGGATACGGGATGCAAGGTAGCAGGGGCCAACTATTTAGCTTTCCAGAAATGACTCCGAACTCCAGGGCTGAGCAGAACTGCCATGGAATTTTAAAAGCTTCGTCTTTTTGTTTTGTAGAGAGCGATTTAAGAAACACCGAGAACTTGCCCCAAGCCACACAGCAGGTAGCAGTAGCCACAAGCTGTGCCAGGATAGAAGCAGGGTCCAAAGCCAGTTGCACATTCACTATCTATGAACCTGACCCGGTCCCCAAGCTTGCTGGTCTTTGCCCCTTTCTGTGTTATCCCCCAACCTCTGAGATGGCCATCCAGTCCTGCCTGCAACAATTTCAGAGTATGTCTGTTGTCACAGCACAACTATTAGTAAAGTCACTTTCTTTCTCTTCGTGTGTGGACATGCTCTGCACGTCTAAGATGGCACCTTACTCATGGTCTGTGTACTTTGGACAGACTCCTCATGAAGCCCCAGCAGAAATGACTAGTTCTTCAATAGGCCCATATGGCTGTCAGTAACCATGGTGACCCTGATCAATTAGCCAAGATGGTCAGGGACAGTGATGTGTTCTCTAGTGACTCAATCCAGTGGCAGCTGGGACACAGTCTTCCTCCCATAGAAGGGGAAAGAAAGAGTCTGATTTTCACTTGTTGACATGTCATGTCAGAGATAAAACTCTTGCTGGGTGGTGTGGAACACACCTTTGATCCCAGAACTTGGGAGGCAGAGAGACAGGTGGATTCCTGAGTTTGAGGCCAGCCTGATCTACAGAGTACATTCCAGGACAACCAGGGTTACACAAAGAAACACTGTCTTGAAAATCAAACAAGACTCTCTTAAGACATGTGGCTATGAGGAACAGAGCTGGCCACACCAGGATGACACCAGTGTTTATGGGAGGGTGCTAACTCTGTGGTGGGAATATGTTGTATTTCCTAACATAAAATATCATTAAGAAGTTAAAAGGGGAGGGAGAGGATGCTCACTGGAGAAAGCATCTACTGCATGAGGTCCCAGGTTTGAATCCTCAGAAGCCCTCTGCAGGTCTATAATCCCACAGCTCCCATGGCAGGATGGGAGGTGGAGAGAGAGAAGCCCCGGGAGCTTTGAGGCCAGCTAGCCTGGAGCACTCAGTGTCAGACCTCAAGAGATCCTGTCTCAAGCATGTTGGAATGCACACAGGCCTCTGAAGTTGTCCTTTAACTGCCATACATGAGGCATGACACACAGGTGCCCACATGAAGACACATGCATGCAGTCATGCAGGCACACACATGTGAGTATACACATACACACAAGGACAGAGAAATTTAAAAGAGAAAATTCAAAGAAATTATTGTAAATTTGATAGAAATGTTTGCCATCTCTGGTATGTTCAAATCTTTAACATATAAAAAGCATTCACACCTAAGCAAGAAAAGTCATAGAAAAACTGCCAAATCATACAAATAACTCATAAATATGGAAAAAAAACCCTGTTATCCTTACAGTCCGTACAAAGGTATGGAAACTCAGATGGCTTCAAGATAGGTCACAAACACAGGAAAGGCGCAGCATTATTGTGTGTATTCTGTGGAATATGGTTGGGCAAGCAGAGGCATGAGCCCAAATGGGACACTTGTAAGATCAGGAAGCGGTCACCTTCACATTATGTCTTAGGAAAGTCTGACTCTGAGCTTAGAGAGTCACTGGTGAAGTGATCGGGACTTGTTAGGAGATCAGCTACCAGAATGTTCCTAACAGTGAGGGACAGGAGAGGACAATCATTCATGCTCCGTCATGGAGTGAGGTCAACCATACTCACTTAATCCTGAAGCACAGGTATTGACACGGAAAGGCTATTGATTAGGAATAACTGCCTTAACCAATCGTATGAAAAGTCCCCATAGCCCCATGCTGCAGACACCCAGGGGTAGCAGGCACAGGCACATGGCATCCTTCCTTAAGCAACTGGGGTCTGAGTTGTATTATTTGCCTTCTTTGTCTTGCCTGCTCTAAGGAGCTATACATCCATCACAGTGATTCACACCACACACTCTCAAGTCAAGGAGTCCTACTCAGAACCCAGGACTCTCACCTAGCACCTACAGGAAGTGTGTTCACACTTGAGTTTTCTCACCTATAGGCTGGAATCTGATATAACCCCTGCTAGTCTGAAGATCAAATGTTGCCGGGATGATCCCAGGCCCAGGATCCCGGGATGTTCAGCAGGCCCAGCTCATAACATGAGAGGGACATGCTGGCTACACATCCTCAAGAGGATACAATGAGAAGCATAGATGTTCATTTTCCATTAAAGAAATTAATATTCAGGCTTGCCCTTGGACTGACTTCTGTGTCCCCTTTCCTTCCTGTGGAGATCCTACCCTCTGAGGTGAGCTTTTAGAAGGTAGAGTCTTAAAGAGGGGTCTGGGTCAGTGCCTTTGTGAAGAGCTTGGCTTAGCTTCCTTAAAAGAAGACAGCAGTCTGCTGCTTAGATGGCAGCCCTTCCCAGAACCACATCACGTCACTACCCTCACTCGGGCTTTCCTTTCATAGAACTGTGGAAAATGAGTCTGAGGCACTTTGTCAAAGCAGCTGAAACTGGTGGAGACTGGGCCCTAACAGGAGCATCCAGAGCACCCAGCCTTATTCTACACAGGGACAGGTTTGTCAGGTGAAGTTTCATTCCCCTTGTCTATGGATTCATTTATATCACACTCAGTTGTCCTCAGGGAAGTACGGAGACAGGAACCTGTTGGACAGGGTGAGCTGTGTTAAGTCAACTGGAGTCACTGCCCTTCAGACTTCCTTGGGGAGCACAATGCCTTCTGGGATGGATTGTTTTAGAGGTTTCCCATGGACCGTCACAAGGTTACTTTAGGCCACTCACTCTTGCCTGATGCAAGTCAGGGCTGACTGAAGGTCCTCACCTTAGGGAAGCTAAGTTTCCTCAGAGTTACACCCACATTCTGTATGCTGTGGGTGGGCATTTAAAGGTTTTGAGGTGGATCTTGACACCCCCACTTAGTTCTGTGAGGAATAAGACCTCATCCCCAAGATCTCCCCTCAGCCCATTTTTCCAGTCCTTCAGCTTTCTCTGGTTAACCTTTGAACTGAGCTCCAGCATCTGGGAGTTATATCAAAATTTGGAAGGCTTAATTCAACACCTCCAGGGCCCTGTCTCCTCTCAAGTTCCTCAAGATGAGGCACCCAGCAGCCTTCTGATCACTCGTCATGCAGACCCATTGAATCTAAGCAAGGTCCAATTTACTTATTTCTTCACGACATCAGTACTCCATGGCAATGCTGCAAAGACCCAGGGCTCTTGAAAAGATGGCCATACTAATTCCTCTATTGGTGTTTACCCAAGACCAGAACAAAAAGAGACATGGGCGGGTTACTCATAATCATCCAGATCAATCCGTGAATGGCAAAGTCAATGGTAGCACTTTCCCTCGGAAAGTAGCCCTTGGAATGAAAAGGAACCCATGATGTACGTGGTCCTCTGAGCAAATCTCAGAAGCACAACACCAAGAGGAAGAAACTAAACTCCTTAAATGACACTGTGGGGTTTGCAAGAGAATAGAAACAGAAGTCAGATCCGTGGATGTCAGGGGAATGGGATTTGTTTGCAAAGCAGCTCGAAGAACGTTCTGGGAAAAACAGAAATGGCCTACTCTGAGGTGCAATACTGGTCAAAGCTTACTTCATGGCACTCAATGCAGATGAACGTAATGATTTAAATTTTCTCAGTAAGCTTGAGTTAAAAGGAGTGTGAAGCTCTTCAAATAATTAAACACAGACTTAGATGATTCGGCCCACCTCCAGCCACATAACAGAGA